CGTACATTCGACCATGATAATATTGAAAGTTCTAAAGAAGCGTGAAGCGATAGTAGTTCAAAAGAAACTTTTTGATTACCCATCCGGAACCGAATCCAAAAAAAAAAATGATGCCCAGTTAGTAGCTCCAAAAATGCAACCGAACCCAGATAACTAGACAAGCAAAGAGGACCGAAAGAATTGAGCATAGTCAAGGCCCATTCCCAAAATGAAACACATATATAGCAATTGATAGATCAATCAATCATATCATCACAAATCACGACCGAGGAGGCCCCTGGTTCTGGTTCTGGTTGTTACTTAAATGCCGCAGAAGATCCAACTGTGCTTTTACTTGGTCGAAATTCATCGTCGGTTGCTGGGGTTGTTGGGGTTGTCCTGGAACTTGTTGTTGTTGTTGCTGCTGCTGCTGTTGTTGCTGAAGGGCAGCCAAGAACAAGGGGTTGATGTGCACGTTAGCAGGAAGCTGCTGGTACGGGTTTGGTTGTTGATAGGCCTGTTGGAAGGGCATCTGGAAATTGAAAGGTGCTGTTGGCATGGCACCTTGTCCGTATGCCTGGGGTTGTTGCGGCTGGAAAGCTGCGAAGGGAGGGAACTGCTGAGGGAGAGCGTATGCACCCTGCGGGTTCGTGGGGTACGCTGCTTGAGGGTAGGGGTGGCTTTGAGGTTGAGACTGATGAGAGGCCTGCGCTTGGGGCTGGTAGTATGACTGTTGACGATCTTGATGATGAGGAGCCGAATCGTGGGAGGGACGGCCACCGCGGCCACCACCACCGCGACCTCCACGATCATACCCTCGGCCACGACCGCGTCCACTACCGCGGAAGCCAGAGTTGTTTCTGCTGGGGCCGGAGTGGCCGTCGGCTTCAACGGGGGCTTCCTGTTGGCGCATCATCTCGTGCAGGTTCTTGGGCCGGGCGAGCGGAGTGTAGCCGTCGTCGACGGGGTTGTCGTCGTAGTTCAATTCGCTTTGGCCGAGCTTGGAGGGTCCCGGGGGGTTCCTTCTGCCTCTTGCTGGGCCGTTTTCGTTCCGTGAGTCCTTCTTTTCCTGGCGCTTCTGCTTGAGCTTGCGCTTATACTCTGCTTCGGCTTCGTCGTCGGAGAACTCGACTTCATCCTCGGCAATCTCTTCGTCGTGGAAGTTAGAGGCATCACTTCCTTTCAGGCCCTTGAGGGGTTGAGTGAAGACGAAGGTGGAGTGTTCCTCGACGTAGTAGACATTCGTGCCCTTGGACAAGCCACGCTCGGCGATGTCAGCCGCGGTAGGGTACCGAACGGCATACAGAGGGTTCTCGACCCTTCCGAGAGTCTCAGAGACCACACCGGCGACACTGCGGTTCTCCAAACAGAGTAGGGAGCCGGCTTCGAGCACTTGGTACTCGCCGCTGGTGTTGGCAGTAATAAGGAGGGTGTTCTCAACGATCGCTTCCACCTGACCCAGATGCACAATTTTCATCTCTGGTGTGATGGTAACCTCAGGGATGGGAGGTGCTTCTTCGGGCATTTCGTTTGCCGTCCTCAAATGGCCGCCGGTCTTGCCTTTTCCATCACCTTCGTCGTCAGAGCCAAGCTCCGCCTGCATCAAAATCCGTGCTTGTTCTTCGGGGCTCAGGATGGGGTAGTCTTCGTCGTCATCGTCGCTGTCATCGGAAGAGTCTGTGGAGGAGTCGTCGGAAGAGGATTCGTAGGGAGAGGAATCAATTTCCCACTCGGGGTGCTCGTCATCTTCTTCGTCCTGAGCAGCTTCTGCGCCATTAGTGGCAGGGGCCTCCGCTGGTTGTTGGGGCCCCTGCTTCTCATTGGCATCCACATCCATAGCATCGGTAGTGGACTCTGCCTTAGTTTCCTCCATCTTCTCCGGTTCACCCTGGGCGGGAATAGACTGATTGGTAGAGACAGCATCGTTCTGCTCGCTGTTCAAATTTGTGGTCGCCTGTGATACAGTAGCCTCAGTTGCCTGCGGTTGTTGAAGATCTTGGACGTTATCATTGACCAGATTCAATCCCGGAATAGGTGGATGGACTTGTGCAGCGGCATCCGGCTCACTGGCCGGGTTCTGAGCGCCATCAACCTGGTCTTTCCCAGCGCTACTGTCCGCGGGTGTGCCGACAGCCAAGGGTGTATTGTAGAAGTCGCTTCCATCGTCGGCTGGCGTCAACGCAATCGGTGGCGTATCGATGGTGCAGGGTCTCTTGACAGGAGGACCCTCATTGGGGACTTCTGAAGAGGCCAGAGGCTGAGCAGGGAACTGATTATCACTCATATTAAAAGCCCTTAGGACCCACGAAGGACAGTCACCCCAAAAAAAAGAAGCGAAAGAGTGGAATGGAGGAGTGATGAAACTGCGACGGGAACTTTTTTTCGTTCTGGAGAAGCGGGTTGCCGTGGTGCCGCTTATCGATAAGCGGCGCTGCTCGCTTCTTCCGCCTCGCGGGACTCATTCCGGAGTCTCTCTCCGACCGCGTCAATTCTACGGCCTCAAGCACAAGTGGTACAAGAGGAGGGTTCATCATCCGTGAATCATTCCTGGAAGCTAAAATGGCACCTGCTCGGAGGACAGGCGAGGCTTCCTCAGAATCACAGGGGCCAGCTCCTGCTCCGCGCACCAAACAACGGTATGAATATTCCTCCAGCTGGCATCTTCCATCCGCAGTTGCTTATAAGTCGTGCTATTCCAAAGGCCGCCGCCGCCGCCTTTCTACCTACCATTGAATATCGCACTCTACCTTTGCATCATCACCAATGTGATTGCAGCTCTCTACGCACCAATTCAAGACTGTGATGAAGTCTTCAACTTCTGGGAGCCGACACATTATCTCAATCATGGATACGGGCTTCAGACGTGGGAGTACTCCCCGCTCTACTCGATCCGAAGCTGGCTGTATGTCTCTGCACATGCTGTGGTGGGTAAAATCGGATCGTTTGCATTCAGCAGCAAGTCTGCAGAGTTTTATGTGATCCGATGCTTCCTTGCGCTGGTGTGTGCTGCTTGCGAGACCCGTCTCTACTCCGCCATCTGTCGCACCTTGAGTCCCCGCATCGGCCTTCTCTTCCTCATGGTCGTCGCATTCACCCCGGGCATGTTCCATGCGTCAGCTGCCTTTCTACCATCAAGCTTCACCATGTATATGTCGATGCTGGGTCTAACGGCGTTCTTGGATTGGCGAGGTGGTCAGAAAACGGCGCAGGGAATCATGTGGTTCGGGCTCGGGGCGATTGTCGGCTGGCCGTTTGCTGGAGCTCTCATGCTTCCTCTTCTATTGGAGGAGGTTATCATCAGCTTGTTATCGTCAAACATGCGAGGGATGTTCTTAAGCGTTGTGGATGGCGCGCTGAGGTGTCTCGTAATTCTGGTATGACTGTTCAAAGGGCCTTTTCAGCTTGCGTTTTAGCTAACCCTGTCAGGCTCTGGAGATTGCCGTAGACTACGCTTTCCTGCGTAAACTTGTCATTGTACCGTGGAACATCGTTGCATACAACGTCTTTGGCGGAGAGGGCCGAGGTCCCGATATCTTCGGGGTCGAGCCTTGGACTTTCTACATCTGGAACCTGCTGCTCAACTTCAACATCTGGTTCGCATTTGCTATGGCCGCTGCGCCACTGCTTGCCCTTCAGGCACTCTTCCGCCCGAAGGCGACTAGCGTGCAGACTTTGCTAAGAACCGTGACTCTTATCACCCCGTTCTACATGTGGTTCGCCATTTTCATTGCTCAGCCGCATAAGGAAGAACGGTTCATGTTCCCAGCATATCCATTTCTCGCGCTCAATGCATCCATCGCCTTCCACATGGTTCTGTCGTTCGTTGGCTCCAGTAACCCGAAGGTGCCGGCTGGGAGCATGTTACCGAAGATCAAACTGGCAGTGATTATGTCAATCATTCTAGTGGCCCTCAATGCTGGCCTCCTGCGGATCGTCGGGATAATTAGCGCCTACAATGCTCCGCTGAAGATATTCGAACCGTTGGAACAGCCCGGAGTCGTCCAACCAGGCGATACGGTGTGTTTTGGCAAGGAGTGGTATAGGTTTCCCTCATCCTTCTTCCTCCCCAAGGACATGCGGGCCAAGTTTGTTCGCAGCGAGTTCCGGGGACTGCTTCCGGGCGAGTTTCCCGAGGCTGCGGACCTTTCTGCGCTCTTTGAGGGGACGTCGCAGATACCTGCAGGCATGAACGATCGCAATGAAGAAGATCTCGGAAAATACGTAAGTTCTCGGTCTTTCCTTTCCCTTTCCCTTTCCCTCGCATGCTTATCTTCTGAGTAGACCGACCTCTCGCAATGTTCTTTTCTGGTAGACTCGGAATTCCCGAGCCGGACGGTCACCGAGCTGGAGCCGGATTACATCCACGAAGACACGCAGTGGGAGCAGCTGGCATGCCATAGCTTCCTGGACGCGTACCAGACGGGTCTTCTGGGGCGGCTGATCTGGACTCCGGATTTGCCAATTCTCCCAGAGCCTCTTCGGCGGAAATGGGGCGAGTACTGTCTGCTGCGGAGACGCGGCGACGTCACAGCAAAGACTGCATAGGTTGGCTATGGAAACGTGGGGTTCAAGCTACTGTACATAGATATCTCCCCCGGTTACCCTTGTTCGTATGGTGGATGCGCGCCTGCAGAAGAGAAGAAGTCATGCTGATGCCCACGCTCGAATGAGCTTGGCTGGCGGTGTGGTGGCCCTTGCCGGATTGGGCAAAGATATCCTCGGATGATAAGAGACTTTGCAGGCAATGCAGCGTCAATCAATCCCGCTGGCTGTTATCTTAACTCATTGCTTGGCTGGAGTTCTACTTCGCATCGCATTAACCCTTCTGGCAACCCACCCAGCGCCCTTCTTCATTGGTGCGCTTACACCTTGCGCATCATCTGCATACTAGCTGTTCCTTCCCATACTCTCTCCTCCTTCGTATATATCATATATCATATCCCCCGGCATCCCGGGACTATTTCCGCCATGGTGGCACAGATTCTGCTTCCGACCATCGTGAATCATTTCTCATCATCATCATGTTTCCCAGATCGTTTCAATTTGGCCAATCTCCCATCTACGATATCGCCCTGATCAGTGCGGTGACTAGTATCAGCGTCTGGCTCATCACCCGAGCTTTCCACTGGTGGACGGCAACATCCAAGCCAGGTGTTTCGCGATCATCCACCCCAGATCTCGAGAAGAAGTCGGTCGCAGTTACCAGGAAACCGGGAGGTGAGCTATCTCCAGCACCTTCATAGGCAAGCTCAGGTAACTGATGCGAGTAATGTAGAATGGATCCCATCGGACTTCAGACGGCCTCCAGCATCCCCGTATCCCGACTGGGATGTGCACACGACAAAGCCCATTCCCTATCGACCATTTCGATATGGACCGTAAGTGATTCGCCAAGTGCACATCTACAACCAGTCAGTGATCTGACCATCCACAGCAAGTACTTCGTCACGATGGGCCTACGCAGCATGAAATGGGACGAATGGATTGGTGACCCTGTCCCTATCCCACCACTTCACCTTCTCAGACTAACGATACGCCATCTCACTAGAACTCGACAACCACTACCTCAAATATCACGCCGACAAGGCCCGTCGCATCGCAGAACGCGGCGACAAATGCTGCAAAACAGCCCCCGAAGCATGGGACGCAGCCATCGAGCTCCTCGAAGAGCTGTAAGCAACCCTCTTATCCCTCCTTCACCCTCCATACACACACTTACTAACCATCCTCCCCCCCAAAAAAAGAACCTCCTACCTCCCCGAGCGCTACCCAACCATGTTCCAAAAGACCCCCACAGGCCTAACCAACCTCATCACGCACGAAACCTTCAACATAACCCAACGTCCCCTCCCCGAAGACCCTATGACCATCGCCGCCCGCCTCATCCAAGACGACCTCGCCATCATGATCGAACGACCCGACGGCGAATACTACCTCCTAGCAGGCGCCGTCCTCCTCGCCGGTTTCTGGCGCCTGTCCGACAAATACGGCATGCGACTCTCGGAGATCCACACCTCCGGCTCCGTGCCCCAGTACACCGAGAAACTCGAAAAGGGAATGATGAATTTCTTCCGTCGGCTGAAACCCGAAGACCCTGTTGTCCGGAACAACTACTTCATTCAAGTTGATGACAGCTTGCCCTGGTCACATAGTATCGGCTCCGAAGACTCAGAGGCCGTATCGTGGAGCACGGCGCAGAAGAACAAGGCGATTGAGAATCACTGGTTCCGGTCTGAGAGGCAGAGTCTACGACGGTTGCCGAAGACGGGAGGCGTGGTGTTTACGATTCGGACGTACTTTGAGCCGATTACGGGGATTGTCGAGGAGGAGTATGTGCCTGGAAGGTTGGCTTCGGCGGTGAGGAGTTGGGGGAATGATGTGGCTGTTTATAAGGGACGGGAGAGGTATGGGGATGTGTTGTTGGAATTTTTGGATAGGAAGCATCAGGAACAGGTTGATAGGGGGTTGAGGGTGGAGTTGGAGGATGAGGTGAGGAAGTATCCTTTTTGATTTTGATGTAGTGTACATGATGATGTCTTTCTGGTTCTTTGTCGATATCCTTTATCGAGTAACGTTTTTTATGAACATCCATGAACAATTGAATGATCATTAGTATTAGTTCTAATACTGTTGTATTCTGTAGTTATATAGAGTAGTATATCACTGTACCAACACCATACCTCTTTTCTGATCACCATTCCATAACGCCAACCTCAATCCCCTAAAAAGTCACACATATATACTGGTCAAACACCAACCTCAACTCCCCCCTCAACCTTACTCTTCCTCCCCATTCTCCTATTCGCAAACAACCACTCCCTCTCCCTCCTCCACTCACACTCATCTCTAAACTCACAAATCCGGCATTTCCACGCCTCCATAACCTCCACGCCGCGCGGATCCCTTCCCCCGCGCCACCAATGCATCTGATCTGTCAAATACGACGACATAGACGTCGGATCGAACAGGAACGACCTACTCCCCAGAACACGGGGCGGTTGGAGATCCGCACTCGGCTTCGAGGAAAGATACCGCGCCGTGAGCAGCGGAGACAGGATGGTGGGGTAGGAGTCTAGACTGCGGGGTTGGAATTCGGAGGGAATGGAAGGTGAGGAGTGCGTTGCTGCTGATGAGGGGAGGAAGGTGAGTCGAAGGTGGGATTTCATGAGGGTCCAGAGGGTGGTGAGGGTGTTGTGGGTGGAGAGGATGGTGGCGGAGTCTTGGCTTGATGGGAGGGAATCAGGTTGAGATTGGGATGGATAGTGACGCTGGGGATGCTCGATGGCGTCTCGGGGGGTGGGGATATAGTCTGGGTCGAAATCTTGCGAGGACATAGCGTCGAAGAATTGTTCGTTCAGGCCGCCGACTTCGCTGATGAAGGCGTCGGTGAAAGGGCGGTTGGGGTCGAGGTTGTACCGCGAGGCGAGGAGGTCGATGGTTACGTCGTCGCTGAGGACGAGGCGGTTGAGCATGTGGTAGTAGAGTTGGAGTTGGAGGAGAGTAGGTCGGAATGAGGAGCTCTTGACGGTTGGGACGGAGCCGCTGCCGCGTGTCTTGACGTCGGTGAGATAGATCCGGGGCAGATGAGGAAGGTTATCGGACTCTTGGCTGCTGTTGGCCATGTCCACGTCCAAAGGATCTGCCTTGGGAGGCGTATCATCCTGCCCATACACCTCCGACAAAAGCCTCCCGCCCCCCGTCGGGGAGAGCAGGTAATCTGACAACGACATCTGATACTCGGGCAAAATAGCCCTCGACGCCTCAATGTCAGCATAATACGTCGCAGCGGTTGCCTCCAGCTCCGGGTCAGGGCAGTCATAAGAAAGCTGATCAATCACGCCCGTAACGAGCTCTCCATCCACCAAGCCCCAGACTTCCAATTCCCGAGTAATCCCAAACTCCCGCAGCATGCGCAGACCCTGGATGATATTCCAAATCCGCAAGGCCAGCGCATCCTCTTTGGTAGTAATATCCACCGGAACGGTCGTGTAGATCTCATCCTCAAGAGTCTTGTGGATATTACTTCCCAACTTCATCGCCGGTGTCCTCCGCTTGCGCCCAAACTTGGTCAGCGTATACCAATACTGTAGCTCACACCACGCCGGCGAGATCAGATCCGTGACTGAGAAGGCTTTATTCGGAGGCCGTCGAAACCTTTCCACAGGTGGCCTTGTGTCCACCTCAGCATTATCGTTATTATTGCTGTTGTTATTATCATTATTCTCCCTCTCTATCCGTTCCTGATGACGAGCTGCCTCGCGTTCGCGATCTCTCTCGCGCCCTTCTGTCGAATTCGGATGCTCGACTAAACGCTTCGAGGGAGTTCCAACGTCAGCCCAACTGTCCAATCAATCCACAAACAACTATAGCCATAGGGAAGGGGAAACTACCAGACGCGGCACGACCGTAGCCTGGAATCGCCGCTGCTCTTGCGCCGCCGCCACCCGGCCGATTCGCCCAATTCCGCTGCGGCCATGTAGGCTTCTCGCGCCCCAGGACCCTAGGTACCCAGCTATTCGAGGGATCCGCATACTGGTCTTCGATATCTCGAATGACGGGTGCGACCTGAGACGGAGGTGGATGCGCTGCTGCTTCTGCTGGGGCAGTGGTGGTAATCGCGTGGCGATCCGGGGCGATCTTGGCGAGCAGGTCGGTCAGCAGCGCGTCTTCTTCCGGGGAGAAGTCGGAGCCGTAGTCTGTGGTGCTGCTGCTGCTGTCGTCGCTGTCATCGAAGGCGCCGGGGATTATAGGAGATGCTGGTGGAGGGCAGGACATGCCTGCAATGCGAGGGAGGGGATCATACCGCGTGCGGTGGGAGATGGTGTTGAACGGAAGAGCGCAAGTCGTCGGGACGAGATCCAAAGTTCGGGTCTGGCGCTCGGATCCTCTCACGTCATATGATTATCAGGCCATAAATATTGTAGTGACAGTCGAAGCTACCATTTCTTCTTTTATTATCGTGATGTCTCAATCGTTAGCGAGGATATCTCTGCTAGTGGTCTCTATTCACGTCTATCTATGTACTGCTCATCTAAAACAGGTTGCCGGCTAATCCATAACCGAGGGAGTCTATATCTATACCAAACCAAATCCGCCATACATCGCAGGGATATCCGAGTCAAATTAATCACACAAAGGAAAATGGAAAGAAAGAGAGATCATCTGGCAATCATGCCTTCATAGCCACCGCACCAACCCCAGCATCAGCACCAGCACCCACCTCCACCGACGCCAATCTTTCCGCCTCGACCTTGCGCGCCGCCTTCTGATTCAACCAGCTCAGATACGTCTGCCACCCAACAGCAATGACTCCGGAAAAGATACTCCGGAACTGAGGCGCCACATACATGAAGCTGAAAGCCGTGACAGCCGGCCACAGCTTCACACTGTTCGAGATACTCGTCGGCAAAGCGACCTTGAGCCGTTCAAAAGTCTCCTCCAACGACTTGCCCGTCATCAACGACTGCAGACCAAAGAAATAGGTATTGAACACGGGAGTGAACACCGCCTGTTGCACGCAGACCTTGGTAAGGATGGAGAGGAACTTGGACGAGAAGTTGAAGTTGTTGTGCAGGAACATGAACCTAAATCCCCCTTCGTATAAGCCATCATCACATACATCCCCACCATACACTGCGACACTCACCATTTATACGTCGGGATTGCACTCCCCACTCCTACTGTTAAATGGCGCACCGTCCTCCACGGATCATACCCTCCTCCAATTCCTCCGGCATTATTTCCTGCTTCTTCCTTCTGATCACCTGCTTGCACATCCTGGGGTGAACCATTATCCGGCGGAAACAACAACTGCGCCCCCAAATCACCACACAGATACACCACAATCGTACTGATCACTTGTGTCCGGTAGGGTCGTCTCTCCTGCACGCGCGCATACGCTCGCGCCACTCGTCCTACCGGACCGGCCTGGATTCTCTGGATGAGTGCTCGCGATGCGGATACCGACCCGGGGGCGGCGGTGGTCGATGCGACCGGGCCAGGCACTGTGGGAGCCGGCTGTGGGTTGTTCGAAGGAGTGTGCTGTTTCTCAGGGACGGAATTATGGTGAGGTTCAGCGTTGCGAGGGGTGGAGGAGAGGTGTCTTCGTGGTGGTTGACGTCGCAGGGACCGGAGTGGTTGTATTCGGCGGATGAGGAGGGCGTGGTTGTTCATTGTGGTGGGGTTGTGATGTCGCTGAGGGAGGAGTAATGATGTATATATAGATTTGCGATATGAGCGAATATGTCTAAACGGAAGACGGTGTTTGGAGAAGTTGGGGATATGAAGGAAAGGCGAGTTGTAGATTGTCCTGCTGACGAACTTCCCCCAAGGAGAATAAGTTAATGACTCGACGGGCGCAAGGCGATAAGTATTAACTAGTTAGTCCCGAAGCAGAGCAGCCACGTCTTTGCTGCGTTAGCCACCAGCCAGCGAGAAGCCCGATGAGATGTATCGTTCAAAAAGAATATCAGGCAGACATGTGCAAGAAAAGGAAGAGGTGACAGATTAACGAATTAGTCTAACACTGCCTTGGGGAGAAAAAAAGTTTCGAAAGGCTATCAGCGTCGGCAGCGCATAAGCCCGCGGTAGCCGAAGGTCGGGGAGAGATTATCTCCCTCCGATCGGTCGGAGATAGCGATCGTCCCGGAGTCTCTTATCCGGGAGGCTTAACTTCGTTAACTACAAAGGAAGGATTCGATTGCTTACAGCCTTAAGAACAATAGTAGAGTCATACTATATATTGTCAAATTATACTGCAATTATCTCATTATATCACTGGTAGGGCTGTATGAACCCCCTAATGCGTTCAATAAAAATCACCGCCATCTATCGTGCTAATGCGAGCTGAAATGCCAAAGCAAACATCAAACTGGGTATATCAATCACCATGCAAGTCATCTAACAATTCACAGACTTTTCTTCTTGCCATCATTCGCATCTCGAGTTGACACAGGCCCATATATACATATGGAAGTGTCGAGGGTGAAGGTGTGGAGTAGGGTGTAATAAGTACTAAAGACTATTCACAAGGTCGGTAATAAACGTATGGCTGAGTCGGGTCCCGCAAAATGGAAACTAGACTCATTGCTTGAATGACTCGCGGGTGTGCACCCGGTCAATATCGTAGGGGTTGCCCTCGTAGAGGGACTGCTTGGCCGTCCGAACTGAAGCCTTGCTCTGAGTGCGGTGGGCCTCGGGCATGTGTGCTTCGGTGCTAGAGTCGGAGTCGTCAGCCTCTACCGCAGGAGCCGGGGCCTCGGTGCGGTCAAATTTCTCTTCCGCCGTAACCTCCTCCTCGGGCTCGGGCTTCTTCGTGAGCTGCGCCAGCATCTTGCGCATGAAGGCGTCGGACTCGGCGGCGTACTTGCAACGAGTGCGGATAGCAGGGCCGTACTTGTAGAAGAGGAAGGGGAACGGCACACAGGCAACAGCCAAGAAAGCCGGGACACAGGTAGCCCAGTGGATACCGAGGTTTTCGTACATGTAGGTGGTGAACAGAGGGAACACGGCACCGAAGATGGACCGCATGACTGAGTTGGCCGCCAGAACAGACGCGGCAAAGATAGTGTACGTGTCAATCAGGTAAGAGAGGTTGCTCAGGAACACCAGAACCAGTCCAAAGCCGAATGGAGCACCGGCAGCGATACTGGCCATCCAGTGAACTGAAGGAGCGTCAGTCCATGCGAACCAAAAGAGACCGATCGGGACAGCAAAAGAGGCCACCATGCAGGGGGGTAGACGGGCCTCCGGGGGCGCAAAGCCACCGTGCTTCTCCTGTACCCGGACATAGCGCTTGTTATCCCAGATGTTGTAGGCGACGGCAGCAAGCATGCCAACCATAATTCCCAAGAAAGGCAGACTGCCAACTCCCTGGTTCCAGCCACGGTACTCCTCGAAAACAATGGGGTAGGCATCAAACAACATGTACAGGGTACCGTAGACAATGGCAATATAAAGAGACAACAGGAACACAATTGGCTCCCGGAACAACAAAATCCACGGACGGGACAGGGCGGTCTTGAATGCTTGCTTGAGCGTCGTCTTGCCCTGGTCGATATCCAGCTTGCTCCGGTACACCTTACCAGTGAGCTTGCTCAGTCTCTCGGCGCGGCGACGAAGAAGCACTGGAGCATAGGTCTCGGGGACGGTGAGGGAACCAACGATCCAGACGAATCCAGAGAAGGCACCGAGGAAGCCCATCACCCATCTCCATCCCGCATTCATTCCCAGAAATCCGCCAATGATGGGGCCAAGAACGGGACCTAAAGTGATTATGTTAGCTGCAGGTGATAAGACTTGAGACATTCAGGAGTGGAGCCTACCAAGGAAAGGAGCCGCAGCGAACAGACTCGTGGCAATACCACGATCCTTGGCAGCAAACATATCGGCAATGACACCACCTGCATTGGTCATGGGAGACGATCCGAAGGAACCAGCGAAGAAGCGGAGGATGATCAAGGTCCACGTGTTTTGCGAGCCGGCACTGCCTGCGCTGAAGGCAGTAAGAGCCATGTACGTAAAGAAGAAGATGACCTGCCGGCCAAACATCTCACTGAGAGGGGCCCACAGCAAGGGGCCTAGTACTTGTTAGTTGTATGCGGGGGGCATTGCACAAGTATATGAAAGACATACCAACTGCGAAACCGAGGACGAAAAGAGAGACACCGAGCGTTGCGACTTCTGTGCCGATTCCAAATTGTTCTTCAATCTCAATGACACCACCAGTGTAACCTGACGAGACCAGAGCAACAGCCAGGGTTGCGAGGGCCATCACCATGGTGAAGGACCATTTCTTGACCGCGCTGAACTGCATCGGATTGCGAGGATCATTGGGAAGCCATGTTACCGCATAAGGATCCTCTTCCGTGCCAGAGCCAGGGTAGTGATGATCGATGATCTCCTGGGTTACTACACCTTGGTCGGTGAGTAGACGCCAGAACGGGATTGTGCGACTCTCAGGCGCCTCAATCACTGAGGGCCCGCTATCCCCCTTCTCGGTTGCCATATGGGAGGGCCGAAGTTTGCTTGCGATATGAGGGGGGATGAGTACGAGTGATGGTGAAATGGTTGCGGTGTTTAGTAAACAAGCGGAAGAGCCGAGGTGTAATTGGACGTCGAGAAAGATGTCAAGGTTTAGGAAGATGCTGGTCTGGATGTAGTAGGGGATGATCTCAAACGGCCGAAGACGTCAGATCAAGATAACCAGGCTGATCACTACCCTAAAACAAGGTTGCAAAAGTCTCCTCCATAGGGGTGATCGAGGATGGACCCCTGGTTATATATACAGATCAAATGGGGTCCACGAAATTTCTGTTGCTTCCCACCCCCCATCGAGCGCCAAGCGGCGTCACTTACGACTAATCGTTTGCATTCAGCCTCGGGATCAGCACCGGTTTCAATCAAGGCGAACGGAGACGAGCTGCGCGGTAGGCCCTTTGACCCAGGGAAGCACAGCCCACCCGAGACGGAAAAGGGGCATGCAGCCGATGTTTGTACATTAGACCGGAGTTATGCACCGCATTAGCTCGCGGTGGAGGCCATGTCGAGGGCCTCGAGATTGATCGGGCTCGGCTGAGGTGGACCGAACCAGCCCAGGCGGCTGAGGATCCATGGGCGAAACTGCGGACCTCGTGGCAGGAGGAGTCATTCGGGATAATTTCTTTCGCAATTTCGTTCCTCTATTAGTCCAGGTCCGATAGTGGGGCGTCATTCCCGTTGGGTAGGAAGTTTCTCGAGCTGTCTTTCGTCAACTTACCGAGGTTCAGAGATAAGTGAACCATATCGCTAGACATCTTCTAGACTCCCTGTTTCCAGGCCACGTAGCACAAACAGTGCTAACTGCGATGAAGACTGATAGTTACGAGCTCATGCCCGATTGTAGGTCAGATTGAGTTACGGTAAAAACTGCCGAGCAGAAGTTGTTCGGAGCCGGACAGAGAGAGCCCATTGTTGGAGCTGCAGGATGCCGATCATCAGAATTACCACTCCGTAGTGGCGTTAACTTCTTCATGACTCTCTATGCCCTCACCGCCCACACAAGAGAAAAACAAAAGGTTGATAAGCAAAGATTTTATGCACAGTCGCATATTGGCCTTTTTGTGGTTAGCGTGGCTTCTAGAAGGCAGATGATCCATGGGTCACTAAGCCAATCCGGGCCTGATGGGACCACTTCCTGCCTAGATTGGAAGGCGGGCAGGCCCAGCTGGCGGAGGGATTCCGACGGCATAAATCCAGTGATGCAGCAGTCATCTGCACAGCGTCAACGCATGCGCTCGTTTGGGTGATGTATCCGATGTCGTCTGATCCCAGGGTCATTCGCGGACCGTGTGACTGTCTGGGTGTGTGACAAGCTAGGCACCAGCTAGTCTGCTGGTCGACATTAATTATTGTCACCCTACTTATCGTAGTGAGACAAGGAATCATAACAAATCCTTGCTAACTTGGAGTCGAGCGTTTCAAAATTGCATAGCTTCCCCATCCTTGGACATGGGAGGTTGGCACTATCGCCAGGCACAGGTTGACACCATTGACCCCAATATCTAATGGACATGATTAAATATCCAAGTCCATGTTGCTGATCACTCAATCAAGGTTCATATCAAATCTGCCGAGGTTGCGATCTGTCGGCCATCCCGTTGACCCACTCCCCTTAAGGTTTGCTTCGAAGAGCTGATGAATCTTGTCTCACGCAGATGCGAGTCATTCAGTAGGGATTACTAATGCCTGGCATGAGTGGTAGAAGAGACCGATGAACTACTGAGAACAATCGACTCAGATTCATGGCCATATGTACGAACCGCATCAGCCTCAATGGCGCATGCATGTTGGAAATAAGAGTAGTGATATGGACGAATCTGCGACAGGTATAAGTTGGTCTGAAATTGGATTGCATTGGCCGATATTTGATCCTCCACTCTCGTGCTACGGGTTACGAGGCGGGACATGGCGACAATTCCAACAACGGGCTAAATCAGGCTCCGATCGCGCACGCCGTGTATGATTGTGATGTATCCAACTTCGGGCACTCGCGCTGGCAATCTATTCATGCTGTGGTCTCGTTGCTTTTTCAGGCAGCCAGGTTACAGACGCGGTCCGTGCTCAAATCGAAACTCCGGCCCCGGTCTCTCTGTGCAACATGTACTTCTTTTGTTGGGCCTATCGTAGAATTTATCGAGTATCTGCATCGCTTGTTGGGCCAGCGGAGATGCAATATCTTGGATAGCACAATGTCATTGGCTTTGGGTGATGGAGTTAGTTGTGGACGATCACTAGCTTAGCGCGATTTCGAAGTTTGTATTATCCGATTGCGTGTCGGTCATAGCCGGTGATATCTCGATACGCGAAGTTGTTCGTATTGCTCAGCTGAAGCGTCTGATCGTTCCGGCTAAATTCAAGTGACCGCAACTTGACCTTGAGTCATGGCAACAAAAACATTGTTGATCTTACTCAAAATGTCGATCATTGAAGTCAGACCAATTCCATCTCCCAGGCTACCTATAAACAGTTATTCAGTTCCAAGCCGAGCTTGGGGATTCCCGGAATGTATATATCGAATATTGTATCAGATACCTGACTGAAAATCTCGACATGTTTCGAAGACAAGGATTATTTATCGCGATACTGATCTGGCATTGAACGTGCTGGTCAACCTACAGATAAGCATGATGTGTGAGAAACAACATCAAGCAGTCAACTTGGCTCCTTGCCGATGCAGGACAGTATAACATACCTAAGATGTCTGTATTCTGTGTGTCCAAGATAATGCTGTGATCTACAGTCACAGATCTTACTTGTGGTCAGAAGTATCAATGTTCGCGTTGGTCAAAGAGAGCGGTGCCGGATAAGCAGCGCGCCTCACGCAAGGGGAATATTACCCCGGTCCGGCACGACCCAGTACTATGTGCCATGTTAGGTTCCTCCGAAGTTCCAACAATGCCTTAGGAGTTGCTAAACGGACAGGTTTGATGACATTTAGTTAGAGAAAATGTTGTATTTGTTTTTGATGTGGATTATTAGGAAACCAGTCTCTTTGCTTTCGAATCAGTGATAATACTCAAACTGTAGTTCCTGATGAGGGATGTGATCTGGCGCCTGCTGTATATATTTTCGCAACGGGCCCGCAGAGCGATTCCAATCCATGAATCGATGCTATTTGAGCTCTCACTAATCCATTGGGAGAAGATTGTAGTAGTATTCTCTTCTATCACTAGAATGCCATTATCGAAAATTGCCAACATATACAATTCTGGTTACGAATCGCCATACATAAATACGCTATTATCCGTGCTATCGCCCACCCCCGAGATTGCCTAAGATGCGGGTTAAGTCCGTCCCCGCCGCCCCGCCCGATATGCGCCTGAGCAAACGTCATGGTCATCCGTGCAGAACTACTACATATATCTGTAGAAAACTGATCGTGATCCGAGAAAATGAAGGAAAGAAGATAATATCATCAGAATCTAATGGACTCTCTTACATCATTGAGCCAAGAAGTCTATCCTATTCCCCATAATGACACACGCGCTGACCGTTTACTTGAAAGGGTACACGCTTCGATAGTGATCGCGTCAAGCACATCGAACATCCAGTAACCTCCGATAAGTTGCAATACAATCGACAGTACATTTAGGCAAATTTTCGACCTCAACATTGCCCATACCGTTATAGTGAATTCCCTCCCATGGTACCAAGGATATTTGTATAGGATAGTCAGTCAACGAATCTGCAGATGAACGGGATGCCGCGACCCGGCGGGCCGGGTTCAACCTACCTATCCACTGGCCTTCCAATTATATTCTCCGATGATGATCTTTGTCGTCTAAAGCTTCGATACATCATTCATCGCCCCTATATAACTTAGCATATCAAACGATTCGTTGCTGCTCGGTAATCCGTGCCTCTTATCGCATTGTAAGGGAGGGGTTACTTACGAGGTAGTGGTCGTGGCATCCCGAAAGGATTCGGTGGTCGTGGTGGCGAATCAACGAGTCTGGCCGTGTGATTGCCTCAGCGTACGAAGAATATTCGAGAGAGTCTTCTAAGTTGCCCGTCCAGCAAAGGTAGCAATCCGAAAAGAATAATCCTACTTAGGAGAAAACTCTGGTCCGGCAATGCACAGACTACGGAGTCCTCCGCAGGGAATCCCCATATGAGAGATTCGCCATTATAGAGCCGACTGAAAAGGAGAGATCCTACCTACGTGATTTCTCCAGGACAGCTGCAGATACCCGCTATTACTCCTTGAATTGCGAACCATCACTCAGTTCATTCAAGTTTTGGACAAGGAATGTCATCGGCGGCGGGCGCGTATGTAGGCTGCCTCCCACCCACTGCCCACTCTGCTCTCAAGCTACCTAGTGTAGACGCGAAATGTCCAATATGTAGAGAAGCCATTTCGTATCTAAGTTATAATCTATTATTCATCCAAGCTATACATGCAGAAATATTACCATAACCCGAGATTTTGATGGATGATTTTGCTGCTAGAATCACCCAGTAGACACCCAGAAACCAACTGACCCCTTACGGTGGCGACCCGGTGACTCGCAGGCAAATTCGGTTCTGCACCAAATGCCACATCACCCAGCCGTTCTTGCTGTCGTCATCCAGTTTTGGCTCAGAAGGTTGCAGTTAGCCATGGAAATTGTTAATGGCCTAATATCAGAGATGAATCTGGAATTCCATAATTGCAACATCATGATAAGGAGCGTAGATGATTAGACTGGAAAAGTAACGGAAACGGTGGTAAGAATCGAAGCATCACACGCCGACGTTACATTGCTGGAGGCATCTCACGGTCGCAGATTGACAGACCTTAGTTTGCTTCGTAGATCGAACGCAGGCTCTGGCAGCAAGGAGATCAAGTCAAATCACTAGTATCCGTACTTCCTAACTAGCATGTCTTCAACCTCACCAACCCTGCAGTGTAGATCTGCCGTCGTACTGTAGCCGACCGGGGTAGCGTGCGACCACCCACGGCAGGCAGCACCAGGCTGCGACCGTGTCACTAATTCTACGCATCTACAGGGTACAACATCGCGATCTCAAACCGGGTTGGATTGTTCCATAGATACTGCATTTCGCGTCTATGCCATCCGGTGGCGCTCCCGAAGGAAGTCACGTCGAATAAAAGCTTTCTTTAATGTACATATTCGGATGCATCCCCATGATCAATTCCACCCAGCCGCTGAATCGGCAGCTACTATTTATTGCGCAGCAAGAAATAACGAAAACCCAGTGCCGAAACCCGTTAAAATTCGCAAACCCATCATGTATCGCCAGTAGTCATGAAAATTGAAGAAAAAGAAACCCCGTTATCGCCTTCCCAACCAGAAAAAGAATCGACTCATTAGAAGTAAATCTAAGAGCGCTCACCACGGAGACGGCGGGCAAGCTGGATGTCCTTGGACTGGATGGTGACACGCTTGGCGTGGATGGCGCACAGGTTGGTGTCCTCGAAGAGGGAGACGAGGTAAGCCTCGACGGACTCCTGAAGAGCACCGATGGCGGAGGACTGGAAGCGGAGATCCGACTTGAAGTCCTGAGCAATTTCACGGACAAGACGCTGGAAGGGCAGCTTGCGGATCAGGAGCTCAGTGCTCTTCTGGTAACGACGGATTTCACGCAGAGCGACGGTACCTTTGGTAGACTGTTAGTCGACTGTTCGGATAGGCCATTTGCCACTTTGAATGATGGGTTTATACATACCGGGCTTGTAACGGTGAGGCTTCTTGACACCTCCGGTGGAGGGAGCGGCCTTACGGGCAGCCTTGGAGGCGAGCTGCTTACGGGGAGCCTTGCCACCAGTGGACTTACCTATATTGAGATGATAGTTAGTGATGATGTTCCTCATGTGAGGCACGGGCGTCGCGACCATGACGCGGTCGAACGACACGAGGAGATAAGGACAGTGAGGTTGCACTTACGGGCAGTCTGCTTAGTGCGGGCCATCTTAGTGGATTAGGTTTGATGGATTTAGTTGTTTTAGAGATGGAAAGATGACGTTGAGGATGAAAGATTGATGGAGGTTGATAGATAAGGGTGGACGGGATGAGGAGATGGAAGAAGGATGGAGGAGGCGGGTGGGGAGAGGTATTTGTAGTAAGCGAAAGGGTGGGTGGTGATCTGGGTTTGCCAGCAAAGGGAGGGGGCCTTAGCGTGCCGTTCCTTTGATCGAAAAAGTGTTCGGAAAGCAGCACACCATAAGCCGTGATTTCGGGGCTCACTTTTGGCTGGGAAAATCAAAAGTGCCCAAAGGCGGTCAGTCCCCTTTCTGCCTGCTCGGAGCGCTAAGCGAGCGCCCTAATGCCCGCCAGCCAATAGGAAGCCAGGATCACGGATCTAGAAGCTGCCCCTGCCTCACATTGATCCCAACCTCAGGCCCAGAATGTGATCCTATCAACCTGTTGCAGATGCTCATGGCCATCGACAGGAATGTCCCTGACACCCTCTGATTGCTGATCTGGGTGGTTGGGAGCATTCCCGTGGGAATCAGTCTCATCCCAGCGGAATCATCCCTGCCCGGTCACGTTGCCGCCAGATCAGTCCGCCGGCCGGGATCCTGCGCTCTGATTGGTCGATCCGCGCTCTAGCGTGTGATTCCAACGCCCTCCCCGCGGCGCGCCTTCTGCTATACAAATATCTCCCGTCCCATGGATGCTCTCTGCCCTCTTCCCTTTACATCCATCCTCACTCTAAAACGCTTAACTTATCTCCACCATCTTCACCCTCAACTTTAATTCAACTCTATTTCCGTTTACTTTTTAGACAACCTTCACAATGACTGGCCGTAAGTTCATCACTTCCCATCATGGGCTATCTATCATCTCGATAGATTGTCCACTGCCGTCTACTCCATGACCAACAGTGACTGACTTGACGCGTCTCAACAGGTGGAAAGGGTGGAAAGGGTCTCGGCAAGGGTGGCGCCAAGCGTCACCGCAAGATCTTGCGTGACAACATCCAGGGTATCACCAAGCCCGCTATCCGTCGTCTCGCTCGTCGTGGTGGTGTCAAGCGTATCTCTGCCATGATCTACGAGGAGACCCGTGGTGTCCTCAAGACCTTCCTTGAGGGTGTCATCCGTGACGCTGTCACCTACACTGAGCACGCCAAGCGCAAGACCGTCACCTCCCTCGACGTCGTCTATGCTCTTAAGAGACAGGGCCGTAAGTACCACACGTTTTGGCTTTTGTGTGTCCAACGCGTCTAACATGGAATTCCTCAGGTACCCTCTACGGTTTCGGTGGTTAAACGCCTTTTTTATTTTCCTGCTTGTTTCTTTTTAGCCATCCTGCGCGGTCGGCGCGTCAGTTGTCCTTCCGCAGCAGTGACGCGACGGGTTGCTTTTTCGGGTTGGTTCATGGTATGACTGGGACGTTGGGGTGTTCTTGATCTTTTTATTACAAGTATCATGGGTCTGGGTTTGCTTTGTCGTATTTTATTTACTATTACGCGTCCACTACCGGTCTGCTGGTGGTCGTGGTTGAATTTCTGTATCATAGCGGCCTTTTACGCTTCGGCTGGTGCCATAGGCTAAAGAGGATCGTGCGACCTTGACGCGATCCGATATGAATACGAACGGTCGAAAATGATCACATCTCTCCATTGTGCGTCCGTAGCTTCGTTATATCGTTTTTTCTCGCGGTGTGGGTGTCGTGTCTTTTTGTATGTTGCAGCTCGCGTGCTGTTCATACCCGAACAATGCGGTCGTGGTCGAGCGCGTAGGAGGTTCATGCCATGTCCATCAAATACGAGGGTGTCCATCGATAGTAGGAATCTTGGATGCTATACTTTAGTCTACAGTACTTGACTCAATACTATGTCAGCTTGAGAGTTTCGCATGTTGTGTGTCATAGTCTACGCGCTACGCGTTCTCCGGTAGTTCCGCTATTTGTTGGTGCCTTAGGCATCACATTATCATTATCGTCATCGTCATCACGACGAGGCCAGCGGTTTGATAGCAGCAGATGGTGCTTGTAATGTGTGCGTGCTGTATCTGGTTTTGCTTTTAATGAGTATGTTGTTCTGGCGGTTATAGATGGTGTATTTGCGGGTTTGTCATTCGGTGGTTGTGGTTTTGACAATTATCACCCTAAAGTTATACTGAACTACCCTACCGATATATATATCCAATATACTAGTTCACCCACATCGATTCGCCAACACAACGCATAGTAACCACACTAACATAGTAACCCACGAGACAATCATACAAAATCAATTACACAAGCTCCTCATTGGTCCCTAGATCAGCAATAAGATCGCCATGGTATCACGCAGGATCACTCTACGATAATTGACATCGGCGGCATGATACCAGCAGATCAAGACCGTCTATGGCATTCAGTGACAGAGTCATACGAAAATCGACACCAGTAGATACGACTAGATCGTACATATGAAACCCTCATATTCTACATCAAGCAAGATCACAGAATCGAATCCAGCGCGTTGATCCTGCTCTCCAAGTCTGTGATCTAGTACCTACAGTATATCAAGCTCCCTCCAAGTTGAACCCAGCTACGGGTTGAACCCCCGAAAAACACCGAAACACCCCGAGCCAGGGGACCAACCCGCCCCGACCCGACCGACAGGGGGGTTCAACTCAAAACCGCAGCTCTTCATACTGCGAACGCCGGTTGATGGCCATTTGAAATCATTGATGTCGCAACCCACACGCATTATGATAACATATAATTATTAGGATCGCATTATACACTATATAGGCAACCAGATTCTATAGCAGATCAGAAATAAAACGCGCGTTGTCGCTTGTGATCGGTCGCCTTTTGTATCCCTGGTATCCATCCATCCAGCTGCTGCCCCAGGCCAACAACACCCGCTTACCAGAAATTGAACCACGGTCACGGGGGCAGCAACGCGTCACGACACGTCTCTCGCGTTGGATTCTATATCATGACCCTAGAGGATGGATACCACGCCGTGCGATACGCCGCGGATCAAGAATTATAATGCAGAGTATGCCAATGACACCAAGACGATAGGATATCCATACCGATGCTTCAATGCCATGTTTCCAAGCAACAGCAGCACCAGCAACTGTAAATGCCAACACTTGCCGGTCAACGACCACAGACACTAGGTGACTTGGAACACGGCCTGGCTCAGTGGACGAAACCGGTCACGCATGAGGATAAATTATCCCGCGTGGAGCCGCGCGGGATTGTAGAGCGAGTCGTCTGCTACCAGAAAGTTGACTGATAGAATAACACGCTTTCACTTATCGTAATCCTCGGGAACCGACAAGGAAGACTTCAACGCACATGGATTGGAGCACTTGATTCATGCCATATCGGGATTAAGTATGATGGCAGGAATAGTAGTGCTTTACAAGGAGCCTTGCACATCTGACCCTATCTGGGTGACGGTATCATTGACCCTGGCCCCGAGAAGCTGGCCAGTAACGCTGGTACGTAATGGCAGCGGGTTGTATCTCGCAGTCGTTTCCAAAATCCAAAAATCTTTTCCGTCAAGAATGTTGAAGACAGCTGTATGGCCTCTTCAAAAGGGTCGTGGGTGTCCTATTCCGAAGTATAAGGGCACTTACCATACTTGGAACGCTCAATCTCAACTGGGGCTGAAAATAAAGAAAAACTGATGAGATCGGGTGAAAAAGGTCTTTGTTACAGTCATGAGCGCTGTGCCGATATGTGTGGTGTAGATATCTCCCAAGGGTATTTCCTACGTGTGTTCAAGGTCCCTAACATACATCAATCAATTGGGTCCAGGCGTCGTCAAATGTGCATTGGGATACTCCACTCCACCCTTTTCAGGCGAAGAGGCCGAGTTGACTAAACTCTCCGGGCCCCAAGGGATAGTCGGGCTGGTAAAGCGCATCCTTCGACCTCTTTTACCTACCATTCCTCTTCTTGGCGTATCTGGCTCGTATATGTATTGTTACAGGTGGATTGGATCACTTGGGCCCTGATGACCTCGGCTAATGGACTGAGCAAGATGAGCTCGCTCTTCCTGTATCGTCGATTTCTTGCACAGGACCAAGAGAGGCTTTTTGGCCTGATTAGTTGGGCTGTGGTCAGGCTCTGTGCTTTTTAAACCATTGCCTTCTTCTTCCCGACTATCTATGGCTGCGGATGACACTTCGCTTATCCTTGGGAACCGCTAGGCATAATTGGTAGCCGCAACATTAATGCACGCCTGGGGGCGATGATGAACATGGACCTGACCACAAACATGCTCATCTGAATCCTACCAGTGTATATGGCGAGTGAAATGCTAAGTCTGGACTAACAGCCCCGACGTGTTGCTCACTGATTTTCCCTTAGGTATGGTGGACGCAGAAAATTCGGGCACAAGTTAGCCGCGGCGGGAGTCCTACTATAATCTACCATGTAAATCAGTAACTTCCCTCACTAAGGCATCTGCACATAATCAGCTGAATGAATTGCTAGATCCGTCGCAGCTGCCGCTGTGCGGCTCATTGTCCAGGGACAGACTACCAACGGATCTTATGCGGCACATACCGACGTGCATTGTACGTTTTCCCTTTCCCTCTCACGATCCAAGAATTACTAAAGCCCCTGCAGAGACTTTGACCATAATTTTGTACTAGAGTATGATTGTATTCGGGCTGGCACTGATTGCGTCATGTCTGCCAACCATGTGACTCCATACGGCCCTGACAAAGACTATCACTATCGTCTTCGAGCGGAAAAGACTGATATTGCCCTCATCAGCAGACCAGAGAGTCACTCCAGTAGAGAACAGTGGCCGGAAAAGACGGATGTCAAGTTCCCTGGGCTCCATCTTGGTGCAGCATAGGAGCCAGTCCTCGCAACATTTGCCGCTTATTGAGATGAGGTGAGCCCAGGAACAAGGCTGTGACATCTAAGGACGAGCTAAGCATCCAGCCACTGGCTTATCTTTTGCTCATCTACCCTGTACCATTCACTTTGATTGGCTGGTTGCAATACCTACGGAGCGAGTGAGAACAGGCAGAACACGGGCTAATGTATACTAAGCCTTTTAGTCGTGTGTGATCCCGACATAATGTAACGTTTGTCTCCTTAAAGAACCACCCAGCCGAGGGTGGACGAAGCTATGATTCTAGATAAATAATCAAGTGGTTGTTCGACTACTGTCCGGACTCGAGTCTTTCCATGAATATTTCCCGAGCACGATGCCTAGCTCTGACTCACCCTCCATGCCCCCCTCTACCTCCCCAGCCAGCTTTCATCTGGCAGACGGGCTAGGCTATGCTCTTCAACAAAACCACCGGTCGGTAATCCGCCTACACGTGCAGCACTTCCTATGGCGGCAAGTATTTGGCTACAGCATCCACCCTTCAATTCCCACCACACCAGCGGCGCTTAAAAAAGTGGTCGATGTGGCTTGCGGCACGGCCCTCTGGCTGATCGATGTGGCCCACGAGTTTCACCATACCAACGAAAACCTCCAGCTGGACGGGTTAGATATCGATCTCACCCAAGCACCACATTCTGGGTGGCTGCCGTCCAACATCCATCTTGATCACTGGGACCTATTCACTCCGGTACCCCAGCAACTGCAGGAGCAGTATGATCTCGTGCACGTCCGACTATTAGTGTTGATTTTATCCGGGCTGGATCCGATGCCGGTTATCCGACGGCTCTTCCAGCTAGTCAAGCCCGGGGGTTATCTCCAGTGGGATGAGCTGAATTGTGCCAACCTGTGCATCAAGAAGACGGATCCGTCCATTGCTGCACCGGCCTTGGAGGAGATCCGTGTGGGTTCGCATGCTGATGGTCGCCATGATTGGGCTTTGGATCTGCCGCGGCTGTTGGCTGAAGTTGGCTTCCAGGAAGTGACCATCGATCACTACGATGAACCTCCGGAGATGGTTCGGGCCTTTAACGATCTGCATTTGTTGACCATGGAGGAGTTTGCCGCTAGACTGGCAGGCCAGGGCCAACACAAGGCTGCGGCGAGATTCACCCAGCTCATCCAGGCTGGCTATCAGGAGTCGGTTAATGGGGCCGCCCTTTCATTTCCGCGGGTGGTCGTCGTGGCTAAGCGACCGGAGTAAGGGCCTAATAACTAACCGAGATGGAGAATGACCAGGGTCCGTGTAGTAGTTACATATCTTGCTTACTTCGGGGTGTTGACCATGATTAGTTATTGAGTGAATGTGATTAGTAGCCTATGGTGACCTAAATTTTGCACTAAGCATCAGCGCTGGTGGCATGCATCTACTAACTATAAGAACTTCTCAACCCCAATGACCGCTACCCTCTCTCCCCACACCCTCCGGTACATACAAATATTCCGGGTTTAGATGGATAACTGTGGACCTGAGCAGATGGCTCACTATCCATCTGCCTCGGAAGCCTGCTGTGAGATGAAGCCCGAGAATCCTGAAATCACTCCATGCGGGGAAGAACAGCAGGCGATTGTGACCGATCCAACTTGGTGGCCACTTTGGCGAGAATAATCAATCGTCATTTGTATTGCCTTGATGTATATGCTGCACAAAAGGTCTATGACTGAAACCACTCTAGCAACTCCGGGACCAACATCATTGTACCTGAAGTTTCCCCAAGTTCTATCCGACTTCCGTGCCTCGCCCCCCCAAGACCAACTCAATGAGCCGCTCATCGTCTTAATTTTGGAGTTAGATGAAGGCGTTGGCTCCTTCCTATCAGCCTGTTTCTTTACGGCTGGTCAGCGTGCGAACGTATCCATTGAATTGCCCCCCTCACCGAAACGGGGATTGTAGGAGCAATTCCCATCCCCACCCGTCTCCCTACGGAGAATGATATCTTGTAGATGCATTCGATCTGCACGGTACGTCTGCATCAGTGTGCTGGCTGCCAATGCGGCGCTGGGTGCGCTGTTTGGGGCGTTGTTTTCCGCTTGCAGGACCTTCGCTGTATCGGGCACTTGAACAAAGGTAGGAGAGTTTATACTGGCATTTCTTCCACTGGCCTTTTTGGGCGAATTCGTGGTGTTGTGAAGGCATGGGGAGAGGTTGAAGCGGGAAGGATGAAGGTATATGTGGGTGGTTGTGATGGGGAAGCAGCAATGCTAGTGCTACTTACTACTGGACTATGTTCGTGCCAAGGTATGGAATGAATTAGAATTCCGTTTTGAATCATTCAGTGACTCTATTCTGTGCTGTTACACGCCCTTCAAAGCGTGTAAACAGTGTTGGTAAGTCTAATTTAATATAGCTCAAGCAGTGGTGCCGATGGAGTCAATTAGTAGCTGCTGATGATGTAGCCGCTTTACAAACAGATGGATTAACCAGAACTCACTCATATATAGTCTCATGATGCAGTTCATGCATTCTGTTCGTGCCAGAGAGGTGGATCACCTGATCAATTTCCCTCCACGGCCACTTCTCCCTTCCATCTTCCTTTATTCAGACAGATTTCACCATGCAGATTCATTGATTGACAATCAATGATCCATCAATATCTCCGACAGATTTCCTGACATTCAGTGTAGGCTGACAATGAGGCTGTAACCACCCACACCCCTCCTCTTGAATATCGACAAGACTGTTATTACTATACTAACAATGCCAGCTCCTAGCAGCGCGACATCAACGCGTCATTTCTCCAGCAGTCATCAGAAATTCAACCCTATATCTATGTCGTCCGATTAGCAAGCCTGGTTTGGAGCACCTTTGACTCGTACATATACAGGCCATCATCATCAAGGCTGTTGGTTGAAATCTGGCCACTACTGATCCCAGGATGTGGGTTATGCTTCTTGAAATTGCCCTTTGTTCTGGCCGTAAGCCCCCCGGTGGACACTTCTTGGTCGGTTATTCTACCCATGAACTGGATAACTATGTCCGCCTGCCGTTCTTGCAGGTTGAACTCCTAGAGCTACTTGGGCTACGATCTTGCTGCCATACACGGTCCAATTCTTTGCTCCTTCGTGACACAATTCTTTGCTCCTTCGTGACACACTAGAGCCAGAACGAAACCTTTCGGAACCTGCTTGGTTGGCGAGTAGAATTGACAGAGACACATTTCAAAGTGTTCCTGCTGGCAGACTGGGCCAATGGGGGTTACCTGGCCCCCAGTCTGTGAGACCAGGACGAGCATTGTCACCCTGTCCTTGCACTTTATCCATGATCTGGGAGAGTACCTGCGCTACCTGGACTTCTGTGGCGTCTTTTGTCCAATTTATTACACAGGTACGAGATGTGGGAGAGTTCCATGGGAGCTACGGAGGCGCGCTGCCTGCTCCTTCTCTTGCCTGTGCACAGATTGAAAGGCAAGTTATGGCCAAAGATGCGGTGCTATCGCGGATAGCGAAAGGCCTTGGGGCGTATATGGAGGGGTTTGACGGTTCAACCTCGAGCGAGATCATCGTGTTGACCATTCGACTGAAGTATGAATGGCAAGCGGCGGAGTCACTTGATAAGTTTCCGCATGTAAGTGCTTATATTCTTACAAAGAGGGTCAAGCTTGATGTACCAATGGCTAAAGAATGCTAACGAGGCCAGACATATGTCTCGTGCATCACAGAACCCAGCTCTCTCAGCTTTGTGAGGACTCGAAGTCTACATCGGCCTTGTATAACTATTGTCGTGAACCTGAATAACCGGTAGATAAGGTGGATAATAGGCTCATACCCCAGAGCACAGTCATGTGTTCAGAATCTATAAACATTCTGAACCGCAACCCATCGCTGTTTTGGTTGCCCCGAGACAGCCGTCTGCAATTAACCGTGCGCTCGAACATGACTGGAGAACTATCAACCGATGCCGAACTTATAGAGGATCGAATATCATGATACTTGCCTCCTGCTGAGATTGGTACGGCCTGTGCTCTCTGAACTCCCTCGATCTCGTGGCGTCAGGACGTCCAGTCCACCGCCTCGTACTCTTGGGTTCTAGTGACTCTGTGCCTATGTTGCCGTTCAATAAGCAGCACCTCAACACTTCCACATTCAAAGCCAATCGATTGCTTGTCTCTGACCCTCAATCCAAAATCCAGATAGCCTCCCCCATCAGCCCACTGGAGTTTTCCCAGTCTGCTATGCAGTTATGGGTCTTTCCTGTCGGAATAATTCCGAGGAGTTCTGAGCCATGCTTGCTAGGAGCCATGATTCTCACGAAGAAGTACCTTGTGAGGGTTTCACCACAGCCAGAGCTATCGGGTCTTACAGGGCGATCCTTTGGCGAAAAGCAAATTCTTCGAAAACTTCGTCGACGATAACAAACGTTTTGACAATGCTTTTCGCAAAATCCCTACCCAAAGAGACCGCCATCCTGGAACCCCAGCAAAGGATGCTCTTGGAGCTGTATCATACTTAACTCCAGTAGAAAGGATATTTGACCTCTCATAAACTCAGCACAGAAGACCCGGCTGCCTGCTTCATCGGAGACAGCACGAACAAGTATTTGGGAACATACTGCGTTTCATGCTCAGTCAGCATGTTACGCTATCCAGAGAGGAGACTGTGTCAGGTGGTAGGGACAGGTCGACCCGGGGTATCAGTTCTTGCAAGTGTTCACAATCAACCTACCCCAGGAGCAAGAGCAGCCGGAAACTAACGATAGCCGCGATGCTGGAGCAACTACAACCGATGAAATTCATGGCAAAGACGATCGTCCTATCCGGGAACCCTAACAGGAATACAACCTAGAACCACATCCAGAGCGCAGACGTGCTCCCAATCTAGTAACCTAGGATGGCTGCGACAACCCCACAAACCCTAAGATTGGAGTCTCAGCCGGAAATGGGCAGTCACCGCGATGGTCTCCAGCTTCAGCCTCGTCGCGCCCGCCTCCTCCATGATCGTCCCTGCGAAATGAATCCTGCCGGTTAATTTTTATAAAAGAAAGAGATTGTTAGCACAAAATTGTTGTTATTGTGATGAGTAGTAGTACTCAAGATACTCAAGGGTATAGAAATCAAAAGGTACAAGGAGTGTCTAATTACGAAAGTAGTTCTTCTAACCATTTACTTGAATAAAAGAGTATACATACGTGATTTCAATCGTGTATAACAAAAACAATAGTCAAGAATGTAAATTAGATACTGTGTACGATGTATGTAGATCCCATCCACCTCCTCCCCACCAACCTGATACGAAACACAAAACTATGCGACGAAGTTCCCGATTTCCCCCAAATTAGAGTGGATAACCGACCGATAAAACAGAACCACAGAAAATACCAACGGGGACCCCTTCAAAGTGGACTGAACAAAGTAACTGATTTACTGTGGATCCTTTTCCCCCCACCCACCCCAAAGAAAAGAAAAGAGGGGGGGAAGGGATTAACCCCATCAACTATGTGGGGAAGGATTTACTTGACCTCGGAAATGTGTGGTGACTGGTGAGTTGAGTCAGTGGGTTTAACATTCTAGGTAACTAGCTCAGTCATATACACACACATAAGCATAAACTCCGTAAACTAGGAGTAAAAGCGTACTACTATACAATAGCAATTCAGATAATTCGTATTTACTCAAATCTTTCAATTGAAGCTTTGTTAGTTAGTTAGTTGGTTAGTTATTTACTTACAAAGTAAGCTAACCTATTTTGTTATTGATAAATTAGTTACTAATCCCATATCCCACTGACTAACTAACATTAACTCATCATCCATAAACCACACAAAACTTCTGGTATGAGTCAAACAAAAGTACCTACATTTCAATTATCTTGCACCGCCACAAGAAAAAAAAAATCCTACTTCGGAGAATTATAAATGAAGCAAGGAAAGAAAAGAATTGGAAAGAATTTCCAGAGACATGCATGTTTTGTATGAATGATGTATGTATGTATGTATGGTGATGCCATGCATTACTCCGTTGTTCTACCGGACAGGGGTGCATATGTATGATGTCATATCTACTGGCTTTCCACTTTCAGTTCATTTTCTTCCGAAACCACAAAGGTACCACTACATCTACCTTGTGCATAGTAATGGTAAATCAGTATTTAATACTATTATTATTATTATTAGAGTTGACTATTGTATGTTTGGGCTTCAATGTCTTACTTTTGTAGCTGTTGGGTACCTGCCGATGACACCGGTCACCGTGCAGTGTGCAGCAAATGTTCATAGCTTCTTCGCTAGAGCTCCAAATTATCGAGAGCTTTCAGGGCTGACAGGTCCCGATAGCCCCTATTTTCTGAAACAATACTCTTAAAGTAGGCAAACTAAAGAAAAAAAAAAAGAAAAAGTAGCCATCATAATATGATATATGTCTTTCACGATATATGTATACATTTCGATACTGTACAAGTTTTTCATCACAATCTGCGCGCCAAACCCGTCACCAAATCCATGCCAACCCAATGCAAAGAAAAACAGCTGCAGCAATAAATCTCTCGTCACGTAACAATCATACAGGGGACAGTATAGTACAAAGCGTAAAAACCCCAGGAATTCGTAACAAGCTGGCTGGAAAGAAAACGCACACGCAACACACGGGACCTTTGCATATACACACGCGCAAAAAGAAGATTCTTTTTTTTTGATGCAAACCCCATTTCCGAAACCACCGTGACCCAATGAGAAGAATATCCACAGCAACACCGTTCACATCACAGATGATGAATAATGACAAAAGAAATCTAAGACCCATGGCATGTAATGCAAAACAAAGAAAAGCATCGCAAAAGAAAGAAGCCCAAAGAAGCAATAATAGGCCTGCTCGTTCGCTGAAAAAGAGATCAATACGTCATCGGCACGCTGATTGGTCCACGGGCGGGCCGCCCGTCCTAAAGGGTGCAGCCATGACGTCATGGATGCTGTATTGGGTGCACGTCCTCAGGCTCCACACCTGCCCTATGAAGCAGGTGCGACCGTTGATCCGGCCCCGTTAGCGAGTCCTTGCCTGAAGGGGACTAGCCCATGACGTCGGAGGCTTTTGGGATCCGTCATGGTGAGGGAAACACGGTGGATCTCATGCTGTCACCGCCGGGGCTGCTGAATGGCACTCACCATCCCCATCCTCCGCACACACCACACCCCCCCCCCCCTGGCTTACCTCTCAATTGAAATTCAGAGAGGGAGGAGTGGGGGAAGGGAAAAAAAGAAGGGGGGCTGGAAACTGGAGCTGATCCACTCAAGCTTCACTCCCGCCCTCTGCGCCGTTGCTTGCCGGGCCAGTCAACCTCCGGATGCACCACGCGCATGTGCCGGGTGAGCGCATCATTGCGCGAGAAGGTCTTCTCCTCCGTGCACAGATGACACCGCACCTTTTGCTTGCGAGCATTGTGGATCGTGTCCTCGTGCCTGGTAAGATCGTAGGGCCGTGAGAACACAGAGTTGCACGGCTTGCCCGTAGACGGATTGATGCGCTCACACTTGTGTGGTCCGGCCTGCGAATTGCGGGCCGACGTATCGCGAGTGACCAGATGACCGCCAGGGGTGGTCTGACGGTGCGCCTCACGCTTGTGCTTTTGTAGCTTGGCCGGAGTCTCAAAGCGTAGGGTGCAGCCGTGGTATGTGCAGGTGTAGGTACCTCCGTCGGCCGAGGTATTCTCCGGTCGACTGATCTCTTCCTTGACCGGCGGTGCCTGCATCGGCATCTTCGCCGATGCCTGTGGGGAGGTCATCTCAGTCGAGGGCAGCACATCACTACCCGTAGAGTCGAACCGAGGAAGAGATGCGGGGAACTCGGGAGTCTGGTGCAGCAGATTGGTGTTATGTTGCTGTGGCTGGCGGTGGTTCTGCTGCTGTTGACCAAAGGGGAACTGCTGGGATGTACCCTGCGTAGCGTACTGGCTGGGGAACGACTCCATCGATGTGAAATTTTGAGTCGGCTGGAATGAGCCGGAACTCTCCCGACGGAGTCCGCCCAGCGCATCGCCCAGATTGAAGTCGGGCTGTGACGAAGGGGGGAACAGAGGCAATCCAGTATCGTCGCCCTCGTTGAAGTCCAACAGTGCATCCTTGGGAGACATCGTCTTGGGCTCTCCCTGAGCCGCCTGGCCCATGTTCACCCCATTTTGAGATGTAGGGGCGCTGGTGGCCATCTGAGGCTGTTGCAAAGCCGCATGGTTGTACTCAGCGGCCAGGGGAGAGTTCTGACGGAAGGGCGAGCGATCGCGCGGCATGCTCACCATGGGAGACTGGGACCGTGCGGTCAAGTGGCCCTGGTTGGCAGCCTGAAGGCGATCGGCAATCACATTCCGGAACGACGGTGTCAGGAGATTTTGCTGGTTCGTCGCGGGCTTAGCCATCTGCGGAGTAGACATCATGGCGGGGTTGTAAAGCTCGTCCTGGTAAATGTCGGAAATCGTGCGGTTGAGCTTGGGAATGCCAATGGTCATGTTGTTGTTCGCGTTGTGGTTGGTGTAGTCTGAAAGCGCATCGAGGCGTAAGTAATCATCCATCCACTTGTCTACGTCGGGAAACCGGTTCTCACCATTTACAATCGCCTTCGATGCGTCATCAAGGTCTTCGAAGCCCGTGTGAGGAGTCACTGGCGAGTTGTGACTCACGCTCGATACAGAAGGCGCTAGTGAGTAGTCGCTAGACTGATGCTGGTGACGAGATTGCTTTTGCTGTTGCTGTTGCTGTTGCTGCTGCTGCTGCTGCTCTAGGAAGGCCCGTCTCATAGCAAGATCGGCGTCGGTCTGGCTACCATCTTGGAAGGTCTGGACGGGGGTCTGGACGGGAGTAGGCAGAGGCTTGGCCACACCGTTTGTCCTCGAGTAAGAACTGCCAGCAGGTGCAGATCGGCTCGATGATGGACTAGCAGAGGCTTTCAGTAAATTGTTCTGGAGGCGAGCTGGGCCCAACAGCTGCAAGTTGCCTTCCCAACCGTGGTTGTTCGCGACAGATTGTTGTGCCAACATCGGGTTACCGTTGAAGTAGTACGGCTGAGTATATTGGGGAAGGTAGGCTTGTGAAGGTGGTGATGCCGAGTGATGGATGTTGATGGAAGGGTTGTAGGAGGAGGAAGGTGTCATCGAAGGGGCCTCGAAGGAATTGCCGTCAAAGACGGCAGAAGAGTAATCTGCGGCAACCGCTGTTGTCGCAGGATAGTGGGAAATGGTGGAGGCGGGTGAGGAAGTAGGGGAGGAGGGAGCGGAAGACGGCGGAGAGACGAACTGCAAATCCGGCTGGTACTGGAAAGGAGTCTGCAGTCGAGGTTGTTGTTGGCCGAGAAAGTGGAGAGCGGTCTCTTGAGAGTAGTCGAGGATCTGGTCGTCTTGTATGCAAACGGGATCTTGGTAGTTGAGATACGGGATGGAAGTTGGTTCAGTGATCAAACCCTTACGTGCAGCAGGGTGCATGAACATAATGTGCTTGTTCGCGATTGGACGTCAAAGGGAGAATGACGCCGACGGGGGGGTGGTGGGCAGGTATAGACACGGAATTTGCCACCGGGTGTCGACTGAAGGTTATAATATAGGTAGGTAGGTTGTTGGCACCAGCGGCCCCCACTAAACTCTTTCAAGGGGCCAAGCGTATGAGTGCGAAGCGTGCCAACCGGAGAAATGAGTCAAACGAGAACAGCGAAACGGAATGATCCGGAGATTCAAAAGTAGACAGGCAATGCGTGTCGAAGAGTCTGGAAACGTCGAGTAGTGGGAGGTCCAATCAGGAAGACGGGAAGGTCGAGAGTGAAGGCTTTGTCGGTGAGAAACCCTTGGTAAGGACAAAAGCTAGAGATGAAGAAAGGCCTGGTTAGACTCAATCTGATCCAATGATGCAAAGACCAGGTAAGAAGAAAGGGAAGAAGAACAAGAGTAGTGAACAACGTAAGGATGGGGTAAGATTGGTACGAGCCAACTTACTGTAGATCGGACCACGGGTATTGGGTGGGAGGGAGGGAACACCAACTGTAGAAGGGGGAAGTTTGATGTAAGAGGGAAGACCGGTCGGGGTGGAGTGGCAGACCAGGGTATTTAATAAGATGAACAAGACTGATGTAAAAGAGTCATCAATTGGGATGATTTTAAATTGAGAGATAATGATGGGAGGGGAAAGGGAGAGCATAGCTGAAGCGGAGGGGGAGGAGGATGGCTCTTTTATTATGGAGATGACGTTGCTGCGCATCGTCAGTCAGTCAGTCCCGGACAGTAAGTAAGTCACTAAACTAACGGACAAGCCCGACGATCGCTTTCCTCTCTGACTCGATTAATATTTTTCGCCCGATCGGGTAAAGCGTCACTGGCTGGCCGGTAACATATTCAACCCATCTCTCATACTTTACTCCGTCATACCCGTACGTACGGTCGAACACGTAAAAGTTACCTGCCTTACCACCAGGCAGAGACCCACTTTGGCTTGCACTCGATCTGCATCTCCGGGGAGCTGGTTATCCAATGCGGTCCCACCCCCGAAAAAGCCCCCAAGCCACACTCTTCCAGTCCCCAAGTGGGTATTTTTCTTTTTCTCATTGGTTTTGGTGGGTTTTATTTTTTTTTTTGCTTTCCCCTCTTCCCCCTTCAGCATGCCTGCACTACCAACTTAGTAAACTTCTGCACCCGCTAAACCCTCAGCTGTATCGTCCGATAAGTCCAGGCATTGACTGACCCGAAATATCTCGCATGTTACGGGGTCAGAAATTTCTGGCAGTTTCTTGAATTCACTATTATTCAGAATAGTTCTAATTTGTTCCAGGCAGAAAAAGAAATTGACATGAGTACACCAACTTAGTACGGTATACTGTAGGACTGGCAGGGATCCTTCAGCTACTGTTTAGTTCGCAGTAATTAATCTATCTGATAAATCCATACCAGTCTACACAGGGCTACAAGTCCGATATAGTCGGGTAGACTAGTAATCCGTTAGTCGCACCAAAACACCAGACTTGGACTCCACCGTGTGTCAAAGAGGCATCGTTTGTTTTATTTTGTGGTTTTTAGTTTTTCCTCGTCTGGATCCGAGGCAGCCAATGGGACACGACTCAGCCACAATCCCGTTGCTTAAGTAAAACATGTGCATCTCAGAAGCAATGCAGAACCAAAAACCGATCTCGTGTTGTCTTGCGATCGGACCACCAAGAGAGAAAAACCCTTACAGATGACATGTACGACCAACAAAAAAAGGAGTGGGAAGGAGTCGGTGCGCGGCAAGCAAGAAAAGCTGAAGATCCTTTCTTCAGCATTGCCTGCCCTGGCTGGACGATGCATCAGGGTCTGCTCCGTAGTTGCCGATCATCGATACAGACAAAAACTAGTTCGATAGGGTGCCAACGCGAACAGGCACCCCCACAAGCCACAGACTGCCTGCGCCACAATACCACTATGATGTGGCTAGTGCATGTCTCATGGCTAGTTACACCTTAGTAATCCACTCATCATCCACCGCATGAACAATAGTAATCGGTCGGCCGCGAAACTTCACGGAGTTGCCCGAATCAAACCCGTCACAAGATGCTTTCTGGCAGACACTACTGCATTCCACCCACGCTTGTCAGCAATTGTAAGAGAGAATTGATAATGTGGTCGGTCATGTTGAACGTTGAGACGGTCGAGAACTGTTTGGGCCGGGAAAAGATCGGGCATACGCCGGCGCCAAGAGGATGACCCCGGCCTCGGAGACTGCGTATCGCCGACGCAGAAAACTGCAACTGGACAGGGTAGCTGGGCCGAGGTGCCTTAGTGCTGCCTCCAACGCTAGCAGCCTGATTTTCACGGCACATCTGTTCCGAACTGGTTCTCGGCCGGTGGTGGTCCCTCCTCTTCCCCTTCCCCCCCAGCAGCCCTGCCATGCAGCAAACTTGGTTTCTCTCTTGCAGCAATGCATCTACTTCTCTTTTTCCTCTCCACGCGTGATCGGGTCAGCTGATGCTCTTAGCATGGCATGACAGGTTATGTCTTGAGTGTTCCACGGTCCTGCGCGCTAACCGAAGCAGCACATGTCCTATATCGGAGGAAGTCATTCCCGTTGGGACCATCCGAGTTGCATCTAGTTACATCTGGCGTTGAGTCATTGTCTTCTGAATTAGTCTTAGCTAGTATTTACAAGAGTCATCTCTGCAATGATTCCCAGTCGCACGATTACGAATACGCAATCTTTTTTTTTTCGCCCCTTAGGCAATTGCAAATCATACTGCTGGATTACACCCAGTGCAAAAACAATGTGAGGTGACTTGCGGTGGTAGTGGTGTGACTGGTGGAAAGGTCTCCCTTTCCACAATCTAGATTGTGCTATCGCTTTCACATGCAAAAAGCAAGATTCTAAGGTTATTAGCACGTTCCTGCTTGCCCTGGAAAAAATTTTTCATCTTGGTTGTCTACGCGTGGCCGCCTCATATACGAAAGTACGCAACGTGGAGGGACGGGCGTTGATTCCGGTCCACACGCGCTCGACCATTCTGGTACATTGACACCTGTGATTGGGAAGGGTTAAATGCAACTACCTTTTGGCTTCAAGCCACGAGGTTCCACTACGACTCCATTCCAACTAAGCTATGGTCACCGAGCCCTGTCAAGGACCCCAAAACAAAAGCCCCAACTTGCGGGCCCACCACATGGGTAGACGAGACAGCTGAAACTGGTGGCAAAGACTCAAAGCTCGAGTTTAGGTAACAGCAAATGAGCTCTGCCCTGCTCCGGGGTGCCACTAACTCGACCCAGCTGGCTGGATCGTCTGCATTCAGCCGTAGCATTAATCCTGCGGCCTACACCTATACCATGTACGATCTTTTTCTACTCTGTATCGCGGATGTCGTCCGTAAGCAAAAGACAGCCGGAACAGGGAAAGACCCCAGCCTTCGCTGGTTGGATCTAGCTGGGGTAGACAATTCGCCCCAATTGTCCCGGGCGTTGATATCCAGTGTTTGACCTGGATGGGACCCCAGCGGGTCTGAGGGACGGGTATCTGGAAAGCCCCTCTCCCCCGGCCGGGGCAAAGGGAGGAAGACCGTGATCCGACGTCAATGGAGCTACATGATTTGACAGATGTCATGGACCCCCCAAGACTGAATCAGTTGAGCATGGAGATTAGAAAGTTTCAGCTCGTAATGCAAGACATCACCACTTCCACTCGTTTATCGGAACAAAGCGTCTAACCCTACTGCCGACGTATGTAGCCGAACAACAACCACCAAAGTCAATTTTAGATTTTTTCCAGTTGAAAGCCACGCCATGTGCTACAAGGGCGATCGGACCAATCCTTCGTCAGGAACCCTGCAAGACAAAGTGCATTATGAAAGGCCTTAGACGGCAGTGAAAAATTTTTCATTGGTAGGGGGGGAATGCCCAGTCAGCACTCTATGCTCGCACGGGGCGACGGATCTCGGGCTAGTAGCACGTACCAGCAACCCGGACGACAGTGTGCCAGACTCCCCTGCCTGCCACATGCTAACAGACGCAACTAGTGACAGACTAATGCATGGAAGGGAGAGAAAATTCTTCTCTCGGGATTCCATGATCCCTTTCTTTTCCCCCTGCAGCTGCTCAGGGATAAAGCCAGACGTGTGATTGGCTGGGGTCATGCGCACAGCCACACCCGGGTTGCCAGTTCATCGCCTTTTCTCCATTCAGGATTCTCCGCGGCCAGACACTAGGGCGTAACTCGGGCCACGTACTCCGTCCGTACGGCGTATTTTATCGTAACGTCCGCCGGTCCCATACGTCAAGAATATGCAAGGCCACGCCAAAACGGTTTAGTCTGCTTGAAATTCCATTCGGGGCAGCCGTATAGACTTCTTCCACGTCTTTTCTAGAACTTTTCTAATTTTGGGCCGTGCAAAGCCGAGTCCAGGGAAAAACCTTGCAAGCACTAACTTTTAGACTAGTCCCGGACTACTATCTCCCTGCCCTCTCTCTCTCTACCTACTCGGATAGGTTATACTATTTGCTTTTTTTGTTTTACCCACTTCCACTTCTTCCCAGTCGCAATCCTGTCTTTCCGACATCCGGATAGCAGACTCATTGATCCGTTACAACCTGTTTTTCCGGATCTTCTCCCCACTTCCCCCCCGGTGTCCCACGAGTCACTGGCTTGATTGCAACAAACTTCTCGGGGTATCTACTGAGTCTACTGTAGGCGATGCCCGATGACTTCTAAGATTTGCGGTTCCCCGACCGGGCTTGACATGGTTCTCGCGTGCATTAATGACGTGAAGATATCCATCATCAGATCCACCAGTCCTGGAAATCTCCCATTCCCCTTATCCTAATTTGTAAATGTGTGAAGTCTACTTCATGGATGATACTAGAAAGATATCAAGACTTGAGTACTACTGTATGTAGTCGTTGGGTCATCGGCCCGGTCGATCACTAGTTAGTGACTTGACTCCTCTTTCTGCTGTGTTTCTTGTGTTGTTTCGGCTACACGGCACCACGGGTCACCCGCATCCACTCACGACTTAACTTTTTCTCTCCGGTCGCAAGGATGCCACAGCCCAAGATTATGCTGATTGGGCTGCCATGGAGCAATTGCAGAATCTACACTACTTTGATAACGAACGAACTAAACTAAACTAGTATCTATTTTCTGCAAGTATGTAGGTACCCAACCGAACTGATTAATTGATCCATCGAAGGTTCTCGACCGAGCGAGCGACCGTTGAGCAAGCAAACCACTAAGTGTCTCGTGCCAGCTGGTGACCAATGTCTTAGTGGCAGCTGATCAATTGACAGCTAGTTAACGAACTAATAGTTACTAAGACTGACTTAGTCAATCCTGACAATGAATCAGAATCACCTTATCAATTATTGATGCGACATTTGTGAGACATTCTATAGTTTTAGCAACCGTTCGAGTCATGGCCAGGATCATAACTAACTAATCTGATGATGGATGATTAAAAATAGTAACCTTCCTCGGTTCAGAAGACTTTAGTGACACATTGTTATCGGGCTCTAGATAGTTAGTAGTTACTACCCCGCCAGCCACAAGATTGTGGTTTCTTTGAACTATACAATATGAACACTTGATATTATATGTGTCTTAATCTTGTTCAATAATATATGCATATGTATAATAAACACTAAGCCTTTGATCGGACATACGCGCACCAATTATTTACCTCCCGAATAACTCAGCCTCCCACGCTTAAAATATATTTAACCTACCACAACAACAACTACCAAAGAAAATATACTATCGAGTATATTCTACACATCGAAATACTATGAATAATAATAATAGTAAAAGACCCTTCTAGAATACCTACCTCCATATCAAAAACCTGCATTACATTAGTTAGCAACGAAGAATTTTCACTCCCCCCGGG